ACCTCGTGATCCACCCACCTCAGCCTCCCAAAGTGCTGGGATTACAGGCGTAAGCCAACATTCTCAGTTTTAAGCCTCATATAATTTGAGAACAAAATTCTCTTGAGAATTTACTGACACACACTCACACACACAACAAAAAGAAAGTTATGCAGTGGTTTTCGACCAAGGGTGGTTTGCTGCCGCAGGATATTTGGCAATGTTTAAAGATGATTTTGATTTCACCACTCAAGTGGAGTGTGCTATTGGCATCTATTAAGTAGAGACAAGAGATTTTGCTGAACTTCCCACCGTGCAGAGTTCACCTCCCAGAGCAAAGAATTACCTGGTCGAAAATGTCAAAAGTGCTGAGACTGAGAAACTCTGAGTTACAAGAAATCTCTAAATTCAGACTTTTATAGAGAAATCATACATTCTGAAAGGTTTAAAACATCACACTCAGAAAGACGGCACCTTGTAAGGTCGAACTTCTGTGAAATAAACATGCCATGCACTCAAGCTGTGGTTATTTACAGTGATGGTAGGCATTGTCTTCTCAACCTTCACACATCAAGTCATTTCAATAAGCCCACACAGTTTTTGTGAGAAGTAATTACAACTAAAAATGATAGCAAAAACATATTCTCAAAGGACAGGGTTGTACAGTAACCTAATGATGCAGACAGAATATCATTTAGTGCATTTTAAAAGAATTATGAAGAACACTGCCAATGACATGATGTTATGTCCTTTAACATATAACACGTTTTCAATATAAAAGAAATATAGTACCTTTAAATGATGCAAAGAGCAGTCTGCTTATTTCCAAAATGAATTTGAACCCAGGAAAGGGGTGTGCTCATTTGTATCATAATTTACATAAATCCACTTCAGAAAGATATTTTGTTACATATTTTGACCAGCAATAAATTGTACCTTTTGAAGAGAATATACTCTTAATATATACATCTCTGTCTGTGCCCATGGGACAAATATTATTTAGAAACATTGGCTTAGTTAAAAGGATATACATATAGGATTTTTATACTGACAGATTCAGAAAATGCCACTTGAAATACAAGGCCATTCACTTGTTTGACGAATATTTATTGAGCTTAACATTGAACAGGCACTATACTAAGTGTTGACAGCAAAGCAATGAGAAGGAATGTAATGTCCTTGACCATATGGATATAGCATTCCGCTGTCCACACTAAATGATTTTTATATAGTCTTATTAAATGCTGGGGCAGAACAAGCTACTAACATTAATTTAATTCATATCAAAATTACATTATGTAGTATTTCTGTGTATTTATTGATAAATTTAAAGGATCACAAAGAAAGGCAAATTTTCAAACGTATATTTTCATATTCTAAAAATGACCAACTTGAAAATTAAGGATATACATATATATATATACACACACACACACACACACACACACAGAGACAACAAAAGAGGGATATTTTAATAAAAGAGTTTCATTGCTAATCTTCCATATTTAAAAAGAAAGTTACCTCAGACATGTAAATAGGCAGCAATAGATAAATAAATGAAAGCATGGAGACTTCTGTATTAAGGTCATTGCTTGATTTCCATCCTACATGTGAATTGAGTAGATATAGTTACCATCTGTTTACTATTTGTTGGCCAATCTTCAGTGAATTGGTAGTCTCAGACCAGCTCACCTTTCACTGAATCAGGTCATGTTTTTAAAAAGTGACTGTCATTAAATTGGAACTAATGGAAACCCATGTGCTCTAAGTATCATATTGAAACATTGCTGGGCCATGTTGTTAATCAGCAGGGCAGCTTACACGTTACTTTTAAGGTACATTCCATAGAAATGTCATAGAATTTTTGCTTAACATCATTTTAGAATATAAAAATGTTTCTTCTGAGAAAAATATGCATGGTAAAAAGATATACAAAGATATTCAAAAGCTTTACAATAGAGGTAACGAGGTGCTTCAAGCACCTTAAAATAGTGCAATTCATCCTAGCATATGAAGCTATTGTATATTTCAATATATAATGCACCATTCAAGTTTCTGAGGTCATGATGACCAATCCACAATCTATTTCATCCAAGACTTTGTAAACTGGTAATGGGAATAGATGATTAAATACAGAAAAACTGTGATGCGAAGCTAAATACAAACATACTGAGAAGATGTAATATTACATAGCATCTCCTTTAGTCGTGTGCTCAATAAGCATTTCGGAATATAGCCTATTTATGTCAACATTCACTACCGATGCATTCATAATAACTTTTTAAAAAATATTTTTCAAAAATAACAAAATTATATGTTGTGTGTGTGTCTGTCTGTATAAATAAGTACTTACAACTAGAAGTGACAGTGAAAGTATGTCTTAAAAAATGACTATTTTCTATATACTCATATGCATTTGTGTATATGTGTGTGTATGAAACAAATAAGTGAAATAACTCTGTATATACTTCTCCTCATTCCCTAAGCATTATTACATGTTCTCAGTCAGTGAAGCATTGTGGAATATTGCAGAAGGTAAAACTAACCAAGAAGTATTTGGAATAGCTGCTGCCATGTGTCACCCAGCACTTGCCTTACGACTGAAGGGTGTCTGGGAGGCAAAATGCCTCAGTTATCATCTCTTTTAAAAATAGTCAGGTCACATTCAGTGGCTGCTATGACAAGGGGATATAAATTCCTGAGATCCTCACCCCAACTTGGGACAACTCTGAAAGGCTCTCTCTGCTTCAAAGCTCCCTGCAGAGATGGCAGAATCCTCCAGCAAAACTGCAACACATAAGACTTTTCTCTCAGCTTCTTCCTTTTCCTACTTCCTCTCCTCCCTCCCATGTTGACACCAGAAACTAGAAACTCTATAATAAACTGCCTGCAAAGCAATTCCCATCCAAAGTTGGCTTCCCGGGGAAGCTGCTATAGTGTCAGTGACTTACGCCACCAACAATCTTCACTACTTAGTGCTCTATTACACTCTTCTGCATTGGCTAAGTTCACTATGTTTTCGTTATGGACTCTTATAAGCCATGTATTTTCACATTTTTTGAAAAATTGTTAAGCTCCATAACAGCCGATAAAAGTTGTTCAACTGATCATCATACAGTCACAGAAGAAAAAAATGTTTTACAGTGGATTTAAAAATAAAGTTTAGTATCTAGGATCCTTCAAGAAAATCTCTGGGGAAGTAGTGACTTAAAAAAGAATGAAAAAAAAGAAAAGAAAGAGAGAGAAGGAAAGAGAAAAGAAAGAGAAGGAGGGAGGGAGGAAGGAAGGAGGGAGGGAGGAGGGAGGGAGGGAGGAAGGAAGGAAGGAAGGAAGGAAGGAAGGAAGGAAGGAAGGAAGGAAGGAAGGAAGGAAGGAAGGAAGGGAGGAAGGAAGGAAAAAACAAAAAAAGAAAGCAGGCAACTAGGAATTTATGGGAAGCCCTTGGCATCATAAAGACCGTTGCAAACATTAGTGAAGGTAGAAAGGAAGGACCAATACTATCATTATTTACATTAAGGGCTTCAGGCACTTTGAAGAGAAGAGGGATCCCAGTGCAACAATGGGGCAGGATCACAAGAGGAGTCTGTTATATGAATCTCAGATTGCACTGACTCAGTTGACGCTCCCACATTTCTAGGATTAGATTGCCTGTCTTAAAGAGAACTTCTTTGTGTTTAATAGCAAACAAAAAAAAAAGTTTGAAATCTGGGACATGATAATCAATATGACAAGGCAGTTGCCTTCATAAAATTTAACGATTCCCAAAGAAAGTAATAATCTCATTTCAATACTGACACTTAAGTATTAACTTTTCTTAGAAAGTTATTTCATCTTAAATATGTGCATTCATACTCACATAGTTTCAATGGGGGTAAAAATAATTAAATGCATTAAAACTCTTGGTATAACAAAATCTACTCAATTGATGAAGCTCTCTTCCCTAATGATGGAATTCATGACGCCAAGTCAATGAAAATGTGTTCTTCAAAAAGCACCATCTGGATTCTTGACAGAGTATTGGCAGCTGGAAACTTAGTTCTTAAATTTGACAGTACTCTTGGGCCTCTAAACTGGTTAGTACATCAAAAGCTATGCTAACTAACAAAAAGAGTCAGTGTCCTTTGTTTATGCAACATTATTTTTTGTTTTATTTTTAGAAAACAATGTTGATTTTAAAATGCAATGCATGAAATTTTCCAACACTGATCCTATCCTATTTTAATATTTTTAATTCCTAGTATTTTTATATACAAATCTTAATATATTTAGTATCATTAATTCAATAAACTTATTTTTCAGCTCTCCTAAACTCGGAACATCAGACGGAGACAACTTGACTTTTGCTTGGCATTATAAGACCCGCACCTAAGACAGTGCCTGAAACTAAGTATTCTTTAAATAAGGCGATCCATTGTTGGTACAGAACTTTAAAGAAATCGTTTAACAACAAGAGTTTAGAGGCTGTTCCTCAAGATTAGAAGTTCTACTTACTTTTTCAATCATCTCACAACTTATCAAGCTCTTAGAGATCTGTTTGAAACAATTAACCTCAAAAGGGAATTACTGCTTATACAAATCATAATACCAGCTAATCACATTGTACTTGATGTTATATATTTTCATTAAACTAAATGTACATATCTACTGTATCACTGTAAAAAACCAGCTAAATTGCTAATAAAAAGTTTAGGCATTATGGACAGTTTACCCATTTGCACTCTTCTGCCTAAGGACAGACAAAGGATAATTAACTTCCTTTGACTCCTAACGCAAGGTGTATTTCTCTAGTGGTCATTATTTTGATCTCTTGCCATTTGGCAAGGCAAGGCTGGAAATAGCTTTACATCCTAGTTCTTTGATTTCTTTTAAAAACCCCACAACCTATCTACCTCTTCTTTTTAGATATGTTAAGACAATTAAGATTAATTGGGATTAATGCCTTGCTAAAAAATATTTTCGAACTGTCATAAAGGTTCAGTGCTATAAAGAACTAAATTATTAAATAACTTTTTTTAAAATAAGTTAAATAATTTACGAATTTTATTCTTAAGTGCTAAAACTTAGTTTAAAATTTTGGCTTTCTCGACAAGATGGCCACGCCGGCGGTATCACCAAGTGCTCCTCCTGCCACGCCAGCTCCGGCCCCGGTGGCGGCCCCAGTCTCGGCCCCAACCTCAGTTCCAGCCCCAGCGCCAACGCCAGCACCAGCTGCGGCTCCGCCTTCCGCTGGGACTCCAGCCTCATCCTCAGACTCTGCGGCAGCAGCGGCTACGACTGCGGCTCCTGGCCAGACTTCGGCCTCAGCGCAAGCTCCGGCACAGACCCCAGCGCCCACTCTGCCCGGTCCGGCTCTCCCAGGGCCCTTCCCCGGCGGCCGCGTGGTCAGGCTGCACCCAGTCATTTTGGCCTCCATTGTGGACAGCTACGAGCGACTCAACGAGGGTGCTGCCCGAGTTATCGGGACCCTGCTGGGAACGGTCGACAAACACTCAGTGGAGGTCACCAATTGCTTTTCAGTGCTGCACAATGAGTCAGAAGATGAAGTGGCTGTTGACATGGAATTTGCTAAGAACATGTATGAACTGCATAAAAAAGTTTCTCCAAATGAGCTCATCCTGGGCTGGTACACTACAGGCCATGACATCACAGAGCACTCTGTGCTGATCCATGAGTACTACAGCCGGGAGGCCCCCAACCCCATCCACCTCACTGTGGACACAGTCTCCAGAACGGCCGCATGAGCATCAAAGCCTATGTCAGCACTTTAATGGGTGTCCCCGGGAGGACCATGGGAGTGATGTTCACACCTCTGACAGTGAAATATGCATACTATGACACTGAACGAATTGCAGTTGACCTGATCATGAAGACCTGCTTTAGTCCCAACCGAGTGATTGGACTCTCAAGTGACTTGCAGCAAGTAGGAGGGGCATCAGCTTGCATCCAGGATGCCCTGAGCACGGTGTTGCAATACGCAGAGGATGTACTGTCTGGAAAGGTGTCAGCCGACAATACTGTGGGCCGATTCCTGATGAGCCTGGTTAACCAAGTACCTAAAATAGTTCCTGATGACTTTGAGACCATGCTCAACAGCAACATCAGTGACCTGATGATGGTGACCTACCTGGCCAACCTCACGCAGTCACAGATTGCCCTCAATGAGAAACTCGCAAACCTGTGAATGGGCCCCGGGCAGTATACCTGCTGGTCTAGGTCTTAAGCCCAGGACTCAGAAGTGAAGGAGAAATGGGTTTTTTGTGGTCTTGAGTCACACTGAGGCAGTCAACTGCCTGTGACTCTAATAAACATAGCCTACCTTTTCTAAAAAAAAAAAAAAAAAAAAAAAAAAAAAATTTGAGCTACTTTTAAATTTCTCAGGGTAACTTTGAATATAGTCCTGGCCCTGTAGAGGGTTTTTTATAACCACAAGCTTTTTCCAAATACATGGATTCTCATTTAGAAAGATCAGTGTATACTTTTGTTCCCTTTTAAGCTCAAAATGTGTTCTAGTTTGGCTTCTTGCCAATTTTGGACTTACTCTACCATTTCCATGGGATCATTAGTTTCCTGTGGGTAGGAACACTGTTTCGTGACATTACGCTCTGTAGTAGTAAGCAGTATGTCCTACTATCTAACCGTATCAACAAAATGTAGAATGGAAGTCACTATTTCACCCAAAACATCTGTTGCTTTGATGCACAGAAGAAAAGGGCCTACGATCTTTTCTAAATTTCACTAATCTAAACCAAACCAAACAAAAAATTTGGTCAGCTGCACATATATTATGATTCCATATAAAAAGTACATTGTCAATAAACAATTTAAAACATTGTGGCATATTGTGCCATCTAATGGTTAGGAACTATATATGTGAAAAAGCCCAAGGACACTTCACAAGCTATAGACTGCATTTGATGCTATTACCTGGGAGTGAATGTTCCATAGTACATACATTTTTATCATTCAATAATTCTGATCAATTTATTATGTAAGTAAACTTTATTCTCATATTTAAATAAATCCATAAATACAGATTCTGAAAGACAGATCAAAAGAAATTTAAAATCTAACTTTGTAAGTGGGATTGTAAGTTTGAGAATTTCTTTTCTGATCACAGGTATACAAGTGAAAAGAAACCAATTTCTATTTTCTTGCAGAGGATGAGTAAATTGAAATTCATTACTTGCTGAAAAGAACAAGCAGCAGCTCAATGAGATCTCTCCATAACAGGTAACCAAACAAAAGTCAGTGGGTACAATTAAGATCATTGAAATTTCAAGAGAACTGTGTGTATCTTTAAACAAACAAATCAATAAATGGTGCTTATTTTTGTGAGCTTGAGTCAGTTCTAACTGAGTTGAAATGATCTAAAGTACCAGTTGCTTAACTGTATGTTTTAAACCACTTTACTTCTATAGTTCAAACTGAGCTATGGATCTATATAAAACTTTGTAGCATTCTTGCCAGGTGTGGTGGCTCACACCTATAGTCCCAGCACTTTGGGAGGCTGAGGCGAGTGGATCATGAGGTCAGAAGTTTGAGACCATCCTGAGATAAAATCCCCGTCTCTACTGAAAATACAAAAATTATCCTGGCGTGGTGGCATTCGCCTGTAATCCTAGCTACTCGGGAGGCTGAGGCAGGAGAACCACTTGAATCTGGGAGGCAGAGGTTGCAGTGAGCTGAGGTCACGCCGCTACACTCCATCTTGAGGGCAGAGTGAGACTCCATCTCAAAACACAGCAAAAAAAACCTTTTTAGTATTTGTATAATGAAAGATCAGTATTATAATATATTAACTAGTGAACTTTCGAGAGATCAGTCAAGTTTACGTTCAAGCTTAGTTTATTCTGGAAGCCCCACCAAAACAGAAGCTACTCTACGACTATTATAATAACAAAGCCTCAAGCATGCTTGCACTTTATTTTATTCTGCAACAACAACCAAATATTTTGTCCATAAATGACTTACATTCTCAAAGTACAGATATTACAGTATGCTTCTAACGTCTAGTACAATACTATGCTATACCAGGCCTTTGAAAGCACAGCATAAATTAAGCTGAGAGTGCTTCTGACTTCTACCAATGTTTGCTTTTAGTGTTTATAATTACATTTGGCATTTAATCTCATGTTTTGTTAGATATGCCTATTAAAAAGGATATTTACATATTCAAATACCATTTTAAACATTAAAAATAATATATGTGAGGAAAAAGATTCAGATATAAAGTATTCTTTTCAAAAACTTCCATTTTAAAATTAAATACGATATATTTAGCATCCTTATAAGGCAGATATATTTATAAATTTGGAAGAGTTCACCTTTTGTAACTTTAGATAAAAGTCTCTTCTTAACTTCATATTGATTTTCTATAGAGCAAAAGAAAATGGAAGTTTGAAGAAAGAAGCCTATTAAGTGGCTTCCAGTAATACTGAAATTGAAACAACTTCAAATATGTCTGTTATTGTGAAATTGTTTGTAGAGACATTTAGATTAAACTCTTGAAATGTTTAGACTGTTAACAACAACATCAATAAAATAGACACATAAATATGAAGTCAAGAAAGGAAGAAAATGTCTATGGTTAAAGTATGTACAAAAATTCAAAAACATAAATTAATCTGGAATAATTACTTAAATTATAGATTCCTCATTGTAAAATAGACCTTATCTGTATAACATAATGATATCCTCTTTAAAATTTATATTCAAAAAAATTTTAATCATAAAAGAGAGAATAATAAATAATCATATACTTGTAATCTAGTATAGATTATACAAAGGTTAACAATTTGTCTTATGTATTCATCTATTTTTTCTGTAAAAATTTAAAATATGTTACTGATGACATTTCACCCCTAATATTTCAGTGTGCGATTCAAAGAAGAATATTACCTACAGTATAATTTTCAAAACCAACAAAGTTAAAAATAGTCCCTTAATGTCATATGTAATCTATAAACTTCCCCAATTTTCCTAAAATGCCCTTTACAGATGGTTTGTTCTAGTTGGGATCTAATCAAGGAGGATGAATTCAATTTATTGTAATTTTATTTATATCAATTTTAATTTATAACAATTTCCTCCTTTTCCTACTTCAGATACTCACTGCAAAGACCAAGGAAGTTGTCCCTTAGAGTATTCCAACTTGTGGATTTGTTAGACTGTTTTCTCATGCTGTCAGCAAGTTCTTCTCTCAGAATTTAGAAGTATAAGACTAATCCAATTCAGGGTAAGCATTTATGAAAATACCAGTTTATAGGGTATAGCAAAACCAGAAAATGATTACTTAAAGGAGTAGGAATAGTGAACTGGGGGCTGTGATGGAAGATTCTGTGGTGCAGATTAATAGGAGGGTTTTTTTGCCCCCTGCAACACCCAGATGTTATAAATTTAACTATTCACTTTGTGAACATTAATCAAAATGGGAGCTTTAAATTTTAAAAAGTGTATTTTAAAATTACCGTTTTAGAAAAAAAATAGAATACCACACAGTGATATGCTTTCGTTGCATCATATCATGATATGCTAATACCTGATTATCTCAATGGCATTAATAAGAATGATCAGATTACATTCAACAATAATTTATTGTATATTTTAAAATACCAAAAATATGTTCCATGTTTTTAACATGAAGAGAGGTTGAATTTTATGAAAAGCTTTTTCTGCATCTACTGAGAAAATCATGTGGTTTTGGTTTTTAGTTCTGTTTACATAATGAATCACATTTATTATTTGTTTCACATGTTTCTTGGCTACCTGCAGGTCATCTTTTGAGGTGTCTGTTCAGTCTTTTGCCCACTTTTTAATGAGGTTATTTGCTTGATTTATTTATTTTTTCTTGTTGGGTTGAGTTTCTTGTAGATTTTTGATGTTGGTCTTTTGTCAGATGCAGAGTTTGCAAATATTTTCTGCCATTCTGTAGATCGTCTATTTACTCTGTTGATTATTTCTTTTTCTGTGTAAAAGGTCTTTAGTTTAAGTCCCATTGATCTATTTTTGTTTTTGTTACACTTGCTTTTGCGGTCTTAGTCATCGATTCTTTTCCTAGGCCAATATGCTAAGTATTTTTCCTACAAAAATCTTCTAGATATTTTATAGTTTCAAGCGTTACATTTCAGTATTATAATTTTAAAAAATTTAATACACTTCTAAAAATGTATTTTAGTAATTAGAAATTTGATCCTCTTTTGATGTTTTTGAGACAGAGTCTTACTCTGTTGCCCAGGCTGGAGTGCAATAGCAGGATCTTGACTCACGGCAACCTCTGCCTACCAGGTTCAAATGATTCTCCTGCCTCAGCCTCCTGAGTAGCTGGGATTACTGGCACATGTCACCATGCCCAGCTAATTTTTTGTATGTGTAGTAGAGACAGGGTTTCACCGTGTTAGCCAGAAGAGTCTGGATCTCCCGACTTCGTGATCCACCCACGTGGACCTCCCAAAGTGCCGCGATTACAGGCATGAGCCACCGTGCCCAGCCGAGCATCTTTTTAATATTGTTATTATTATTTCCATTCAAGATTTGACCAGCCGTTTCAATATAAATACTCATGCATTTGATTATTTTCTTTCTTCATTTTTCTTTATTTTTACTCATTGAAATTCCTATCTGGCTTATGTTCTGCTTTCTGAATTTATTCTCCAGCTTTATTTTTTTTTTTTTTTCTGATATTTTAGAGTTTTTAAAAAGTGTGGTCTGGGAATTTTCTTAAGTTTATCTTTCAGTTACCTATTTTGTTTTTTGAGTTATTATTTAACACTTTCACCAACATTTTAAAATTCACATTCATTTATTCAAAAGTATTCATATTTGAATACACAGGGGCTGTATTGGGTATAATTAGACAGAATTTATAAGGCAGATTTGTGTCTATGCCCTCATGGAGCTTACAGGAATATAAATAAAATACTTAATGCTGTGACGACAGTGATGGCAATTCTGATTGCTCATCCGAGAACAAGGAGCTTTACTCTGATGCAAATGTGCAGCTGCACAGTGATGAAACTATTATGTATTAAAAATACAAAGTACCTCTGTCAGGGTGAAAAAACCTCACAAAACTATAGGCATTAGTGCACATGTGCTTGCTAATGGACAGACCTCAGCTGTGTCTTACATATGGCATGTTTGTTGAGATGCTCTGCAGAGCTGTAGTTAATTCCTGATAAGAAAAGTAAGGAAACCACAGCAAGGATCCCCAACTCTATTCTACCTGCTTGTATCCTTTCCCATCAAATAAACCGCATTTCTAAGGCTCTTTGGAAGTGTGACAACGCTATGCCCTATTAACTTTACAGATAGAGAAAACAATATGAGT